TTCTCGTGGCAACGCAAGACCTGTCGCTGTGTCTCTCAAAATGCCCGTATCAGGCTTCAGGCGCTAACGCGGAATCCGATTGGTTAAGATGATCAGCCCGTTTACCAGGCCATCATTATTTAAGTTTACTTGACTGAAATTATCACATTCTCAGGGCATTGAGCAGTGGTATGACGGCTACCAGGCGCAAACACTGGAAACTGCAGTGCCTGGCAGTGCTGCTCTTCATTGCCTGTGCACTCCTTCTAAAGCGCATTCATTCCTCGCCGTCTTCCAGAGGAGGCGTCCACTTGGAGGTGTCGATTGCTCGTTCGCAAGAAGATGACGCAGAGCTTCGAGCAAGAATCATTCGATTGGCTGAGGAGGCGAAGTCACTGGACGATGCAGCGAGTGTGGACATCGTCCACGCAGGCACCAATGCCACCTACGTTCTGCGGACGTTAGCGCGAGGTGAATTCATTGAGGCGCCAGATAGGTGGTGTTCCGGTAAGGCAGGGAAGCCGAAAAAGCATGTTATTCCCTATCTACGCACCTGCTTTCCCGAAGTTCTTAAACTGAACAAAACGCGGATTCGAGAAACACTGCGGCTGGTTCGCGACAAGTTTCGATCGGCGGGGATACCGACTGTGATAACGTATGGATCACTAATGGGTTCGTTGCGGTATCACAGGCGAATGCCATTCGACTGCGACTACGACCTCCTTGTTCACCAGGCGGATCGCGATCGTGCGATGCAGGCTGTTCTTCAACTGGCCCAGAATCCGGACAACCGGATGCGCATCTACGACCTACAGTCGATGACTGGATGCGTGCAGATTGGACTGGATTGCAAGCCGGACACGGACTGGCTGAAGCCTGAGACGTGGCGAGAATTCGGTTCTGGCGTTGAATTTCACAAGGGGATTCCAGTCGGTCGCACGTGGAAGGCGTATCCTGCGTTGATGGGTGAATGCGCAATCAACTTGGACATCTTCGTCAGCACACACGACGATGTTGTGATGGAACGACTGGAGGAGTACACGCCGTTGTACCGTCCTCTGGAAGGTACCCTTGTCCGCGTATTCGAAGGAGGCCGTGAATACTTGGAGAACTACTACGGCAGCAGTTTGGACGTTTGCATTCCGAAAAGCCCTCAGTCTATTCGCGGTGTCGTGCACTCCCTGCCGAAACCATGCAGACGTTTGCAGGTGCCGTGTGACGACCTGGATGTTCTCTATCCCAGGATCGTTAGATTCTCCTCTCCGGACAACGCCACCATCTACGAGGTAGGCTTGGAAGTCGATAGTGGAGGAAGATGTTGGATTAACTCGGTGTTCCGTTCCACTTCATAGCTCCCCTTATTCAAGAATCGTGTTGTTTGTTCCTCTGAGTTGTGTAACTGGTGTGCATGATATCAACCACTGCACTGTTTTGCACTCAGAGACAAAGCGCAGTTAATGTCGTTACTGTTATGTTATAAGTAACCAGTACGTTTTTGCTTTACTATTTGAATTTATGGGTTGACTGAATCTTCGAACAGATCCTAAATAATCTCCGCTGGTCTTAACTAGCAGTAATAATCATTCTTAAATTCAACATCAACCACTTCAAGTCACTTTAAGTAAATTGTTTCTGCGCCTCTTAGAAGATGCCACTAAGCGTGAGAATACTCGAAATCATTCTACTTTTTCCCATTTCGTAAAGATGCATTGTAATTTTTTAATCAAACTAGGTTTTGACATTTTCGTGGAATTTGGCTTGACAATTTTTTCCCATGAATTTAATTCTACTCAATCATTTCAGTAGCATGACGTCCTGTTGATATTATTGTCACCCTGTCAATAATTTTTTCTGCATGCCGTGTCTCCAAAACCGCAAAATTTTCTGTGCCATCTGCCGTGTCGCGTAGCAGCCATGTTTGTTCCGTATTTTTCTCCCTGGAAGCCTTGAATGATGCCGAACGGTAATATGACTACAACACTGAAATGTCAGCCTACAGCACAGAGCGAGTTGTTTGGCATCGTAGACACAGTTGGCAACATCTAGCTGTGTCTGTGGGTTGCCGCTGGATCTCCATTCCTATTGGCTAGATGTACGCCAGCTCTACTGAATCAGTTCATACGATAAACAGCAGAGTGTTCGTATGCCAAGAAACGCTATCGATCCCGCGTGTGCGGTTGTGAGAAGTCACCATTGAGGCAATTGGCTTTGCAGTGTTTTGTGTGAGCAAAATGTGGAAGAAAATAAAAATACTTTTTTTTCTAACAAATCCAGGTAAATTCAAATGTTCACTTTCTAAACGTTGCATCCCTGTGAATTTGTATCAGGATATTTCGGCTGCTGTTTGTCTCATATTTCGGCTATTTGGTGGACGTCAGTGATTGGTGGGAATCTAGCCAATAGCAATATCGATTGCGCGACCAAAGAATTTGCTTTACCATTGATTTTTCTTTTAAATGGGACGATCTCAAAATCGTCTGTTGTTATCGATGGAGCGGTATCAGCATTAGATGTAGATGGTTCCTCTGCATTCGAAGTGGCACATTTAGCTAACATTGATTCAAACGCAATCAACGACCTTGACATTTGATTGGCATTATAGGTTAGGCTGTGAGCACTTGTCATCATGATCACCATAATACGTTCTACAAATCACGCACATGGCAGAATGGCAAGCGCGGATATCCACTTGAATCCTTCGCATTTTCACCTATTTTCACACTTTCCCCATAACATTTTGTTTACGTAAACAAATTAAGAGTTGTTTGTTGACTGTAAGATCTGACCTGCAGTCTGTTGACTCACTCGCTCGTATGCTGCAAACTTCCAACATCACACAGACCGTGTTTATCTTCTCTGAATGTATTTCAACCAATCAGATTGCCTGCTTAAGCTGGTGTCTAGGCGAGTTCACGCAAAATCCTCCAAAATCGGCGTGATTGGCTGCTATTCGCCGCAAGGTTTTTATACACTTCCGTCTAAATATCTTAACTAAGAGCATGATTGAAGGCTCTTGGTTGACAGGGCATCGTTCTGTTCGAGAAATTTCCCCATGAGCTCACCACTAAGTGGACCAATGACTGCCTGTTAAAATAGCCAGTAATATTTTGTCGTGGGTGCAAGGTCAGGACTTTGTGTCGATTCCTGATTGGTTTTCTTTGAAAGAACACGCAGTCTGGGAAATCCATCGTTCTGTTCGAAATTGTTCTGTACACATTTTGCGAATTATAATTCGCTGTTTTACTAATTTAAATTGCCCATATCCTAACTATCATCATCGAGCTTAAGGTACTATCGTTAAAAAAATACTCTTTCTAGAAGTAATTGATCTTTCGTTGCAAAATTTCCTGTGACGTCGCATAGAACTTGAACTTTGTCGGGTGGTGTTGCTTTTGTGTGCATCTTGTCATTATTTTTGTGCGCAAATCTATGGTGTCTGGTATCGAGGTATACATAGTTCTGCTACTGACTTCGCATCAGTAGGTGTTATGTATTCGACTTGACGAAAAGGCGATTGCAATACAAATACAAAAATGGGGTAGGAAGAAGCTAGTTGTAATCGACTTATAGATGTTGGACGCCTTTTTAACAAGTCAAATATATTGCTTCTACTAACGCATAATAAGTAGGTATTTAATGTGTCTGTTCAAAAAACCGTCTTCTATGTGGCTGTCTCCAGGACATGAGGGAAGAGTTGAGGGTCCGCGCGGCTAGCAACATGCTGCGAAATGGAGGAGGCTGGAGTGATCGGATTAGCGGGTGTGAATCAACAGCGCTGTGGCGGGACAGCAGGGTTATAATCAAGTGAACAGGTATCACAAATCACAAGATGTCTTGGTAAATGTTTACGTCGCCAGCACACGATAATGTCACAAATGCTCGAAGATCCGTGCGTCAGTTGTGACTACTTAAATAAAGTCAGTAGGCATATGATAGATTATAGTGTTGATTTTGTAATAGATCAAAAAATGAATTAAGCAGTGCACAAGAAATGAGGTTTACTGCGGCATCGCTTGGCCATTGTCTTCGTCGTCGTTGTCGTCGGTGGGGAAGAGCATGTGCCCGGATATGCTGCTGTAGAGGTACCCGTGGAGGTGGTAGGCCTCCTTGCTGCACTGCAGCCAGAGTTTGTCGCCGCGCTTCAACCTCAGAATGGCCTGATTCGTAGCACTGGCCCACGGCTTGCTCTCGCACCACGCCGACAGCACTTTTTCGCCGTTCAGCATCAACCACGTGCTAGCCTTAAATTCAGGTGGGTGTGTTATTCTGGTGACTGTGCCCTAACGACAACCTCTACACTACCTGCTTCGTCTCACAACGCCAACTTCTACCTCCAACTAACATGCTAGTAAACCTCGTTTAAAGTGGAGACTACATTTGAATGTACATTCCACAACTGTGAATTCGTGGTTGTCATGGAAAACCACGGCTGATTTAACAACCACCGTTAACTCCCAATTTCTACACACTGAAGATAGCTATCTCTGCTTGTCGAACTGAATAAAGAAAACTCTGTCACATACCTTCTCATAACTGCGCGCCGAGACAACCAATAGGAAGCTGTACACGCCGCTGATGTTCGTCGTGAAGACGCCATTTGTGGAGTTATAAAATCCGCCCAAATTGAGGATGACCGTGTCGAAGATGAGGGGACAGTTATCACCAGGTGGAAGTTGTTCGACGTTCTGTGAGAGACCAATGTAAAACGCCACTTGTGAGGTCTTCGGAGCCAATGGCGGTGCTTTTCCAGGCGGTCCTGGTGGACCTAAGTTGAAAAAATCGATATTATTGATTTTGGCAGTTGTGATTTTTAATGATCAAATTTGAGAAGCTGTAAAATTAGTTTCGGGGGCTTTTGTGGTAAAAGGAATCACGTTATCCACAGGCCGAAGCGTTAAATTTATGGCCACGATTTCTTGTCACGTTAAATGGCTTTTTTAAAAGTAGCAATGACTCTAATTTCAAACTATAGACACATTGATACAAAACCGAGCACCGGATTCCTACATGAGATTTCTGTTTTGACTGCTACGCCAAAATTATTCAAACTCTGCACGCAATCCTTCCACAAGTCATGTATTTTTCCAAGTTAATTGAAAAAGATGGCCTCCTGCCTGACTTCTAGGTTTTTACTTGAGAACAACTTTCTGTGTCAGACAAATTGCTTAATCGCGTGACTTCAAATCGGTGGCATCCGCACACGTACGAAGCGTTTCAAACAACTGAAATTTTAGCTGTTAAAACCACGAATTCTCGAGGATTTTTCTTGAAATTAAACAGTCAACTTCTTTGATGGTTCCATTGTGTTCTTTTTTCACATTCACTCTTCATTCTCATCGACGTCAGCGAAAGTTTTAGATTGGGTAAAATTTTTTTGTTACTGATGAATGGAATCGTCTCTTTAACCTTAAAAGATACACCAGGATTATATTTACTGGTGATAAAATTTATGGGATATGGAATGATTTGTGCCCTGAGCGTATGTAGCAACACAACTTGTTGTTTAAAACAAAAAAATCGATCGATTAGTCGGGCAAGTGATTTCTGCACGTGAAAATCGATTGGCGCCAGTACAAGCGACTGCTGTGTGGCAAAAACAAGCAACTGAGAATTTTCGAATGATAATAATCCCCCGTTTTTGTTGCAGCAAACACTTTAAGATACACTTCATAAATAAAAAGTGTTTTGATTGGAGGGACTCGTGTAAAACAAAAAATTAATTTATAATGGCAAGCCAACGAGAGGGGAGCTACAGGCGGAACTGGTAAACCCCTGTTTTAGCGTGCCTGCAGGGGATTAATATTTCTCGCCGAAATGCACCACCATTTTCGGTGTGCACGCATTTTTTTTGAAACAGCTCAAATTCACCATGGCAATTGTAACAGCTTTATTGATTTTGCGGTGTCCAAATCGCCAATTTTTACGCTATTCCGACTCCAACGTCATATTTTTGTGTGATAGTTTGACGAAAACAATTTCTTATAGCGTGAGATTGGATAAGTTTAGTGTGTTTAAAGGTTTACAGCGCCTCGTTACAAAAATATAACTGTTGTTTAATTTTTGCTGGCTTACACAAGGTTTTTTTTTAAATTTAAATTAAGCCGACTTCCTGCTGGTATCGCCATTTACCAAAAAGAAGATATTTGCGCATAGGCATGTCACATAGGTAGAGTTCAAGTGTCGATATCAAGGAAATTCTTCGTCAGAACACCTAAACACCGACCAAATCACAGTGAGTAATTCTATGCCTTCAGAACGTAGTAGACAGACGCCGACGACGGACACTACTCCAAACCACCTCGAAGAAGCGCTTCCATCTTCTTCAATGGGGGAGACGTGGTGGTAATGCACCATTCCCCAGCACGGTTCATCGCTCATTGGGATTTACAAAAATCCCCTGACCACGCCGTTAAGGTGGTTCAGTGACCCGTGGCACCCCGTTTGTGTTAATCCACGCTGACTTACAAGGTCATTTTTGACTTACGTGAGCGCGCACAGTCTTGTAGATCATTTGATCTTTGGCTGGGAATGTGGGGCGTAGCACCAGACAAGGGAACTGGGGTACCAGTTTTCTGAGTGTGTAGTTCTGGTTACGGGGCAAAATGTAACGCTCACATCTATGACAGTATCGTCATTTCGGTTTGTTTGTTCGTGTGACACGATGACTCATACCAGATCACTCAACTCACCGGGCGGTCCCATTGGCCCCTGCAAACCCCGTGGCCCCCTTTCCCCCTTCGGCCCAGGGGGGCCTTGGGCGGACCGAATCGGGACTCGAACCTTCTCCACGCCATGATCGGCCTTGCCGGTGCACTCCAGTTGAAAGTAGCAGACGGGATCGGGTGATTTTTCCGCCTGGAAAACCAGATCCGTAGCTGCAGTGTAGGATATCGCTAGGGAGAGTATGCTCAACACAAGCCTCATTTTGTCCCACAGCGAAGGAGATTGTGACGAAGGTATTTAAAGGCCCTGCTGCCAATAGAAATCGGATGTGGGCTCATCCAATGGCCGTTGTGCGTTGGGTCGGCGTATCACGGAATGGTTAAATGGCTTTTGAGAAGTTCTATTGGGTTGTGAGAACCACGAAAAATGCTGATGATCAGTGAGTAGTAAGTTATGAATTTAGAAATCCACATTTAGCTCAAAGGATTTCAAAGCAGGAAAGAGTACGTAGAAGCACTTTAGGTGGGACTATTAAAAACGAAAATGTGTAAACATATTGGCTTGATTAACATTATCTTACAACTCTACTACCTGAAAGTCTGTAACAATCCAGTTTATAACTGGAGCGAGCTCTTGATCTTGATTTCACGTGGAATCGTTTTCATTGACTCAGTCAACTGGATTACACTATTATTCTGAAAATATGCTATCGTTACTTGCCCATTATTATGTTTTCTTCTGATTTTTAAAAAAAACTCACTGCCTGGTTTGCATAATCCATAGGTTCCGCAATGCGCATTTAGAAATTCATTTAAGAGACCTGCTGAGATCTTTTACCAGCTTTTAGCGTGCAAGAAATCTTGTTTAATGGTGCCAATTTTCCTGATTACAGGGAGATATATTACATGTACTTTCTTAAACTGTATAGCAATATCGCTAATAAGTATAATTCCCATTCATGTTATGCATTTAAAAATTAAACAGTTGACCCTCCCGGAGGATATGCTAATGACAGTGTTGCCAATTTTGTCCAATTTTGACTACTTAAATTGATTAAGTAAAACTGTGATTATGTGCAACGCAGAATTAAACATATATGCTCAACTAGCTAGCTGGAAAAACGGTTAACGAAACAGTATACAAAGTTAAGTTCACGTTTCGAAATTAAAATCCCATTATATTAAATTTTAACAATTTTGAAAATTTCTCTCTTCGATCAAATTGCTTGATTAGTGATATGGTTCATGGAAGAATACATCAATTTTATCGATTATCAATGACAGAAATACGCAATATCTACAATGAGAAAACCTCTAGCATAATTATACTTTTATATAAGACGTTATTGGCTGATTTTACTTTCTTAAAAAGTGAAGCTCAAGAGTGATTACAAGAATATGTATTTCTTTATCTAAAATGTAAATTTAATTTATTGTCCACATCGATTTAGACGAATTCCAGGTATAAAAATAGGTATTGTGGAAAATAACATTTGTAAAATATTTAACTGAAATAATAACCACAATTGCCGAATTAGTGGCTGATTTAATTTGACTTTTTGCATTAAAACTATGACCAATTAAACGAATATTTATTTCCACACCAATTTAACCATAAGTATAGATGCTTTGTATTTTGCGATATTTTATTATGAGTTGAATTGTACCTATTAAGCAGCATACTTTCTTTATCTGGCTATACATTGAATTTTACGATTTTTCGACAAGCTTTAAGAATCCAGCGTCATTTTGTACCCCAAAATTTTAATGACACCAACACAAGTATCTGTCCCACTTCTGAGCCTCTACGATAAAAATTTTCCTGCACTCCTATTTTTCACAATACTCTATAGCCATGAAATTGGTCATATCAATATGCACACTAACCTTAAAAAACAGTTAAGGAGCCGATTTTTATTCCTTGATTGTAGCGTTTATAAAATGAGGAAATTATTTAAATATCCACCAGTCTAAACATTACAGTAACTCAACGGCTACTAATTACGGTTCATAAAATTGCTTTTTGGCTAAAATTATGAATAAAAAATTCTATATTTGATTTAAACTAACTACTTCTATTCTAAGGATTGATTGCAAAATCTAAGTGCAAGTCTGCCTCACCATTGGCCACCGCAGTTTGGCATCTTCCTAAAATAACCCACAATGACAAAGCTGTCTCATATTGCTTCGAAGACTGTTATTATTCATCCTGGCTCCACACTTCTGCGTATCGGTCTTGCCATTGATGAAAATCCAAAAGTTTTTCTTCACTGTATTGCACGTGAATACAGGAAGTCTTCTAATGAAAATCTCTCCTGTTTTCCGTCGCGTGCGCATTCCCTTCAGTATTGCGCCGACAATGAATCGGATATGTCAGCCTTTTTTGATGGCTCTTCTCATCTCACGTCCTTGTCTATTGATAATAGACTTCACGAAGCCTTAAATAAAGCAGGATCTCATTCAGAACCGTCTTTAGTAACCTCGAGGTCTAATTTCATACCCTTTCTTCGAGGCTTCAAGGCGGTAGGTAGCGGATGTTATAAACTCGAATGGCCAATTGCATCTGGACCTTTCAATGAGGAGTTCACACCGTCAAACTGTGTGCAGGACCTTGAGGATATGTGGACATATGCTATAGAGCATTACGTGAGTTTCATTTGATTGAAATAAGTGTTTCCTTTCCTCAAATAATTTGACTAAAACCTTCACGAGTGACCTAGCTAGCCTTGTTGAGTTTAATTTGACAGTCAGAATGTTGATACAAAGTGGTTTAAAGTCTATTGGTCCCACTAGTTTCCCTGTGCTTAATTTAAGCCAGGTGCAATGACACTGAGATCACACAACGCCAAAAGCCAAAACTATAAGGATTCCAGCAACTCATTTGCTTAGCGATGAGCTGTTTCTACACAATAGCTAAACTGTCATCCTTATTTCTCTGATTTTTTCTTATTCAAATAGTCCTCAGGCCTTAGTTTTTGACAAAGCCAGTTAATTGGATGTTCTGAGTAGATACCATAGATGCGTTCAGTACTCACCTTCCATAACCTGATCTGAATAGCGGCATTCACTTTGATAGACCAAAGTGCTTTCGCGAATAATTAAAGTTAGCACTGTTAAGTTCCTCGATGTCGTCATGCTTGTTTTCGTTAGGCCGTCTCTTTTTCTACTTAGCTTTAAATTTGCGATTTTAGGGTAAGTAAAATCCTCTAAAGTTATTGAAGTGGAAGTAGTTTTACTTGCTCTAGAATAAGCGCATTTTTGTGGCTTTATATTATTGGCATGTATTTTGAAATTCAATCGATTGAAATTCAAACAATCGTTCATAAAAATAGAAGTTTCTGTTGACATTATTGTATGTGGCCTTAATTTGCAAAGTCCTATTCAACCATTGCCCTGTTTTTACTTATTCCTGCCTTAATCTGTTATTCATCAGTGATTTACATCAATTCCTCCTCATTTTGTTAGCTAAACATTCCAAAGGAGAATTTTCACCACTATTCAGTCATCCTGTTGATTGAAGACGTCTTTGTCCGCCGTGAGGTGCGCCAGATCGTGGACATGCTTCTGCGGAATCTCAAATTTGCCCGACTCGTGGTTCAACAGGCAAGCGTTTGTGCTACGTACGGTGTGGGGCTCCCAACTGCATGCGTCGTCGATTTTGGCTTCCAAAAGACTTCGATTTCATGCGTCGATGAGGGCATCTCCATACCGGACGTCCGCGTCACGCTACCAGTGGGCGTCAGTGATTGCCTTCGTACGCTCCATGCTGCCATGAAGCACCATAGTCGCGACAAACCTCTGATTCTTGAACGGTTGAAGTAAGTTGACCACAAATATTTAGACTTATGGTTGTTGGTTTGACGAATATTCTTGTTCACTACTAATTACACCTTACTATGGATTCGGTTGAATGAAATAGAAAGTACTTTATCTGTGAAGTGTGTGAATGTTGGCTTAGGCTATGCTTAGTAGACAATTCTGACGTGGGCGTATTTCAGACGTCGAAATATGCATCCTCTCAGGACCGCTTATACTGAAGTTATTAGTGGTTAACTATTAGCACGTCTCGTTTGTAGGGAAGTTGGCACAAGTGGCCGAATCATTGCCTTTGATCGCACCTCAGAGTCTCTTGTCTTTTTTCTTTAGAGAAATAGGCTATCAAACATTTCCGGACACGAAGCTTCTCTTTAATGCAATGTTTGACGCAGACACCGCTGTCACCAAGTGCCTGCTGGCACAGCAGTTGGAAGGCAACACGCCGAGTGACATCACCATTGATATTCCTCCCGAACACAAGCAAAGCCTCCCCGTAGCGTCTGTCGTCGGCGTGCATCTGACCCCCTACTTCCCCAAATCGGAATCACTCCTGCCAGAATACCAGACGCCTTCCATAGAGGCCCCGGAGCCGGATGACCCATTTGACGAGGTCTACATTGCGGCGACCGCGAGAGAGAAGAAACGGAAACTTCAGGTGGATGTGCTTTCGGCTAGAGGCGACGACGTGGGTACTTTCGATCCCAAGATCTCCAAGGTTCAGGTACTCCTCCTCCTCCTTTCTGAAGCCGCAATCGGGTGTTTCATGCACTTCAAACTGTCCTTGATTTAACCGATAGACCCAAGATAACTGTTTTATTGGGTGTAACCTCAAATTAGAGGTTTTTGTGCGTGTAGTATTGGTGTCTTGTGGGGTTTGGCTTTTATCGATTGTAAGAACACACTCGAGTCTCTGCTAACGACAGCGACTGTTCAAACGGTTCTAGTTCTTGTCTACTAGCTTACAGCTACACGCACCTCTCACCCCTCATCTGATTGATTCGCGCCCGTCTCCTGTGTGTTGATTTACCTTAATTGTGCTCACTCTTCTTCTTCTTTGATGTGGTAGGTTATGGCACGGCATTATCTAAAATCTAATGTTCATTTCAACTTAGAGACTCTCGTCGTTTAAGAACCTCGCAGAAGCAATCATCTGGAGCATTCGACAAGCAGCAGCAGCAGTAGCCGCCTCTGCCATCGAATCGGACGTGGTCAGTGCCAGTTATAGCGACGGCAAATCGGACCACCTGCGACAGCGTCTGCTCGGATGCATCCTGCTTGTCGGAGGTGGCGCGACCAACCTCGGCGGCCACCTGCTCTCCAGACAGTTGACTCGAGAGCTGCAGCAACTGGTCGGCGATGGAAGTACTGTTGAAGTGCTGCTCAGGCCCAGGGGCGTGGCTGATCTCGCCTGGCAAGGCGCCAAACTCATGCTCAACACCGACTCAATATCTGATTTGTGGCTGACACCGTCTGAGTGGCTGCGCTACGGATCCCGTCTACTGCGTGAAAAGGCGCCCTTTCCTTGGTGAATCCTGTGTAAACCCCCAACGTGTTTCACATTGTACAGCTCACGTGTTTGAATATAAATGTATGTGTATGTATATATACATATATTCGTTTCTCTTTTTATAAACATCCAGCAATTTGTTACCTCTATTCCCGACACAAGCCTTACTTGATTTTTCTGACGGAGTTAATCAGTTAATGTAACGCTGAAGTAATCTGCAATCTGTAGTGTTTGTGCGGTCGTGTGCGCATTATTGATCTACTCGGTTCGCCATGATCCATTTTCGGCTGCATCCCGTTGGAGGGTCTAGTGTTTTATTAATATTATTATTGTTGTTGTCCCATGTCTCCGGCAAACTTGTCTACTTGACTTTCCTCCTGTCCCACGAAAACCTCAATATTCTCCAAGTCTTCGTTGTTTGCGGGCGGCTCCTGTTTAGTTTTATTCAGACACTCCTGCAGCATGTCGTCGATCAGACCGCTGTCGGTCTCCGAAAGCACCATTTCCTTGGTGATCGTGTCGCTGCTGGCGATTCTTTGAATCAACTGGTCTACCTCCAGCAGACTACAGGGTCCTGGAGTGGCGTCGGGGAAGAACATGGCGCCGGGAGGGATTTCGGTGGTGGAAGTTCCATTGACGGCTTCCGAGTCATGGAGGTGTACACTGACTGTCGGGTCAAGAAACGTGGGGGTCGGCTGCTCGTTCCTGGAGCACTCGTCTAGTTCTGATTCCTCGAGGAAGCGCTTCAGTCGATTGGTCGCTGAATTGGCCTCCTGATCGACCTCGGTATCGTTGTCGACGGGATTCATCATTAGGATCTCCACTACCCCCGAGGGTAGTGTGTTGGTGGAATTGGCGTCGGGGCATTGTTCTCCTTGTTGATAATCGGACTGGATCATAGATGTTGCCCTTTGCTCCTCCTCTGACATTGGCGAGACTATCGATTCCTCGGTTTTGCCACAGAATGTCGCCTCTTCCAGGACTCTGGGTGAAGATATTATCTCTTGGTTGATTAGCTCGGGGTTATCGCTCTGTTCAATAAGGGACTCCTTCGTGTACATGGTGGGATTAGGCGTGTTAAAGTCGACTGTGGTCCCTTTCGCGTCCAATAGCGAACTCCGGTCTGGCAGATGGTTGACCGCTGGCAAGGCGTTAGAGCTTGAACTCTCAGAACTTCGCACCGCTTCACTGGTTGTCAGCAGTGGTGAGTCCGATCCGATCATGTTGTCCCTCTGTAGTCCAACAGGCAGTGGATCCGCTAAGGGGAACTTTTCCTCGGCCTCTTTCAAGCACAATAAGCATTGGTCGCTCTCAGGCTCGGGTACACAGGTGTTGTATTTGCCAACGGTGATCTCGGTGAAGCCAGGCCTGCGTTTGAGGCCGGCGTCTTGTGCGTAGGTCTCCATACCAGATAAGAGGAATTCCAGGGCACGTCTAGATGGTGGGGCCATCATTTCAGCAGCCTTGGAGCTTGATGACCTTCGCTCGACCTGCTTGGAGTCTCCGCCTTCGATACCGCAGACATCGCAACACATGAAGCCCACTTCCAGGAGGAATTTAATCGATTTTTGTATTTCTACCGCTGGGCTGATTAAAAGGTCATTCCGACACCCGATGCTGAGTGCCATCTTTGAAATTAGACCCGTGGTTTGGGGGATAACTGACGTTTTCGCCTTCTCTAGGAAGATTTCGTGTAGTTTTATCATCAAGGCGAGAGTAACCAAGCAGTCTTGGAGTGCAGTTGGCATTGCGTCCCACTTTGTCGCAACGTTAGCAAAACAGTAACAACCGAACCATGTGCAGTTGACATTTTTAGTAGGCTTGTAGAAGCCCCTGTGGATAATGAGTTGCTCCATTGACTGGATGAGTGGCAACGTGAGACGATTTCCCCCACCCTCCGAGATCAGGTACCTCGCCAGACGCTGAAAGAGCGAGCACCGCACACCTCCGTGGTTCGTGCACATCCGTTGAGCCGAATTGGCTGTGCAGTAGCCGGGACAGTGGAACACCAGCACGTCAAAGAGGCGGGCGATCGGAAGGATTCGACCCTTCCGCACGACGCTGATTGCGTAGTCGAAGGCATCCTTAAATTTGTTGCACTTTTCCATCCACTTGTTTGCGTATCGCAGCGTAAAAGGATCTGATGCCTTGAGTGCTCCTGATCTCGCGTTGAATATGATAGGCAGGGAATCTAGAATGTTGCGTCTGATTGCTATGGTTACCGGACGAATCTCGCGTATCTTCTTCGCGCCACTGGCTCCAGCGCGATTGGCAGTGTCAGTCGCAAAGCTGACTTCGGAATTATCCACGAGGTAGTTCTCAATTAGCAGTGTGATGACATCCAACTTCCTCATGTAAACAGCCAATGAGAGGGGCCGGAGGTAGAGCACAGTCGACCGCTTATACATCGGCTCGTAGTCACCGCTGTTCCAAGTCACTTTCTCGGGTGTGTCAGGAATCTGGAATACGTAGTCAAACATATTTGGGTGTTCTTTGCTCATCGCAGCCAAGCGAGCATTCGCGCCGCTGCGAAATGTGTTTAAGATCCACTTGGTGTTTGGGTGATCCCATGGTGTGTACGGGGGTACAGCGAGTTCCGTGTGCTCAAATCGGGGTGGCGGTGGGAAGCAAGAATCCGCGCGCACTGTAGCCAAATCTTTCATGCACGTGGCGCCAAAATTAGTCCGCGTGCCGCTAGAATCTCGTAGCATTTTCGAACTCGACAATCGATAAGCACGTGCTTCATTTCAACCCAACACATAGAAGAAAGCTACGCTACCGTTTCGATTCTATCCTGGTTTTAATTACACACACACACCTACAGCGGAGCGTTTCGTGGAAGTGTATAAAAATTACATCTCTTGCTAATTTCCTTGTCAACATCACGTTGCTGGGCATAAAATCGGTGCTACTCCATGTGGTACTATGAGGTTACCCAGAAAATGAAACCAACAGCTTCAGATATAAGTCGAAGAATCGACGCCGAAAGTGTACTTTCTACTACGGCGGTGTGCACAAAAATAAAATTAGACGGACAGTAAGGTAGATAAAAGGCTCAGATAGTAATATATATGCGTCTTTGCAGAAAGAGAACCCTTGGGTGAGGTGTGTGGTGGGGAGGCATCGTCGTCACCCAACTGGCTCCCCGAGGAATTCCATCACGATCTTGACGGAGATGGCGAAGATGCCAAAGAGGATGAAGACAACGATGAAAGGTAGTTGGCCGCCGGCAGCACCTCCAGTTCCTCGTTGAACGTTGATGAATTCCTCCATGTCCGCCACACCTGGGATGCCACTGCGATTTCCCGACGATGAGTTCCCCGTTCGTGATGCCAGACGCTTCGCTTTGACCTCCTGCAAGTGGAAAGAGGCTCTGCAGTTCCATCAGGTGGAATCTGAATTAATTTTGGCTTTGGACTCCAACAAGCATTACACGCGTCAACGAGTAACCACCAACAATGCGTTGTGGAACAAATAGAATCAATCACAAAAGGAAGTCTCAGTGATAATTTGGTATTACATTCTGAGGAAAGCCTGCTGACGGAATTCAGGAATCCAACAAAATCACCTTGACCTACGCTGGGAGATCTGAGGAACACCAAGGAACTAGTTATTGATGGTTTGGATAACATACTAAAGACTTGATTGGATGACTTACTCGCGCCTAATCCCATACCGATAGGAGCAACGGGACATGACGGACTAAAATCCCATCCCAGTGGGTACCACGGTAGCGAGGACTTAATAAAGCCCTTTCTCAAGCAAAAACATTTAGAGTGCCTTGCATTGATTTTGAAAGGCAATAAGCAAGCCAGATTTTTATGTGTGTGTGTGGGTGGTACATTAACGCCAAGGAAACAGGATTGTATTCGGGGATTAACGTGATGCTGTCAACGCACATCGAGCTACGTCACGTCTGATTAAGTTAGTTAACTAACACACCGAATTATGACACACATACTAATTATCCCTAGTTGCGTTGAGTGAATGTACAAAAAGGAATGGAGCAGTTACACGACTGGGCTACGAAGCAACGATCTCAGGTACAATAGTTTCAGCATGGAACACTAAAAATCTGGTCTACTATAAATAAACAGTTGTGGTGGTCACGCCGAAATGCCATTGATTAAACGGACAAAACATGGATGTATGACTATAGTTCTGTAGAAATCAGCTGTCCTTTTAGGCTAACAGATGCGTCTCGATGTGGCTTGGATTCTCGAAGCCAGCCCCATGCTAACAACAACAGAGTTTGCGCACGTGGTTTATGAATTTAACTCGAAATAACCAATGTGCTCAAAGCGAAGCCGAACTCCGTTTATGTGACAAAACTTTTACAACGAAACATTGGGAGAAAACCCTGAGCAGATGTGCGCGTTCGTTTGTACTTTAGTGGTAGCTAATCGAGTACTAAAGTGCATTTGCCGTGACTTCCTGATTTGTTTCATAGGAACAGAACTAAAAAAAATAATTCAAATCACATTTATAACACGTCTTTTGGTGGTTGAATTTCGAACTAGCTGTTTCTGACAATGGTACACTCGGTAGCGGATTATGACGAATCTCAGAGATTTGTCCTAGATACCAAGATAACGGAATTTTTCCAGTTAAGACTTAGCTTCTGAGGAAGAAACCGATGGTGAAAATTAATGTGCACGATGGAAAAAGTAGAGCTCATTCACTTGGCAAATGGGCATAGTTACCGGCGTGTGAACCGCGTTGATCTTCACCATAATATACCCTAAACACCTTTTCGACATACCTAGTCCAAGACTGTCTGCGCCCTAACCTCAGACATCGCTACATAATTGTCGCATTAACGAACGACGATAACTTCGGGAAATGAGTACTGCAAATATTTGTCCTACTATAAAACACTATTCGATAAAGAGACGATCACGAGAGCCGCTAAAGTCAATACTGTTAAAAACTCGGTCTAGTGTCACATTTGAGCATTAGTTAACAGGAGTTCAATGGGTTGATGACAATTATCGAACAGTTCATTCAAGTGGGATTGCGCCAGTGAGCGATAAATCCAAGTTGATGAGTGAGGGCTGGAGGCTGAAATACTACATCACCTCGAAGCCAATATATTTTTCTGCATTTTGTTAAGATTATAAAGTGAAAATTTTCGCTTTGCCGAGAACGTGCAGGACGATGATCGAGAATAATACAGGAAAATGCATAAAAGTATGCATGATGAAATTACCGAAAATGACGCATGATGGAGCCTGGAACATGGTTCTTTTCTCAACAGACAAAAGTACTCACCTTCACGACGTCAGGGAAAAGTTCCACAAAAAGTTCGTTTTTTAGATTGAATTCAGCACTTTCTTTGGCCATAACGTGTTTATCATAAGTTGACGTCGTTATACTGCCCATCGTAGGAGTATCTTCCAGCATAAAACTGAGCAGACCTGTGAGAATTGTAGAAACAGACCATGCTGGATTCCACGAATCTGGGTGGAAGTCACTGATTGAAAGACAAAGTCTGAAGAAGAAATAAAGCAACTTTACGAAAAATCGCACCTTGTGTTACAGGCAAACCGGCCATTGGGAGTGATCATGTATATTGATGGCGGCCGGAACGGGTATTCTTTTGGGAAAATCAACTTGCCATGGTAATAACCTCCGCTGTAGGGAGAATCCGAAGGCCCTCGGACAAGGTAATGCCACTCAAACATATTCGAATGAAGAGGGTGGGCGGTGACAAATGGAACAGGATCGCGAACAAGACGAAGATAATCTTGTTGAAGTCGCTGGACAGCGACAGACATGCCACCTTTTTGAGTAGGAGGCATATCGGTAAATTATGACAACCCGGACCCCCAGGTCTACGTTATAGGTAGTCGGAAGACGGGTCAAAGGACGAAGACGAAGCAGTAGCATTGGAAAAAATTGTCACAAGATGTAACATTATTTGTAAACTTATATAACCATGAATTACTACCCAAACGTATTGAAATAGATATCGCTTCTCAACGGGTTTTAGAACTTGTCCCCACATTTGAATTATGACGACAATCATGCTGCTGATGCTTCAGTGGAGTATGTAGACTGTGTGTAGGTCACATTCCACCGCTGTTGCCTGTAATGCGTGGTTCTTTGTCTCAGGTGCTCGATTACTCGTGGGACTTTATTACATCATTGTTTTGGGCGCGATATCCTAACCCCTATGCGTAAGGTTACTCCACTAGACTAAAAATTCCTAGTTCTCATGTGCTGCACGAAGACACTCTTGAAAGATTTCTTCTGGACGACCACACCCTGTACACGAAGCGCTTATTAGTAAAACGGAGCTTTGGGAAAATTCCGCTTTTCCTCAGAAATTTTTTGTCTAATCGTCAGGAATTGATCGTCGAGGAGTCAGTCATAGACTTGAGGAAAAAGGAGATTTTTACACTAACTCGAAATTTTGGTGGTCTAGCCCGTTACGCGGTAGGTTCTTTTTGGTGGACTATTTGAATATTTGTAATTACTGTCATTTCGCGTCATAAAATTAGGATTTGACTATTGTTTGATGTTTTGGTGCGTCATATAAGCTCCACCAGATGTCTAATAATCCCCATATTTGTGGTCCACACCGAACCCAATATGACCCATTCTTGACACCAACTTTGCTATGATCCATTTTCTAATTTGTAAACTTGACGTCGCTTCAGCTCCTGTGGCTTTGTATTGAGATATAGTGGCAGTTCTTCTTTTTCCTGAACTAGCTCAATTCATGCCTTGTCGATATGTTCCCGGTCGTTTTTTGTTATAAAATCAATGTCTCCAGTAGCTTTTGTGTGTTATCTGTTTTTTGATTTTCCATCGTTTGTCTGATTTTGTTATTGCGGACAAATTAGGTCATGTATATGTGCTTTTAGCAGTTTTTGTCATACTAAGTCGATGGTTACCTTGACCACATGTGTAATTTCTGTTAGTGGCTGCGCTGAAGAAAATCGCTAGCACTTTTGTTTATGTTTCTTGTTCTTCATGCTTGAACACGTACCTCAACTTCGATCATTAGCGTATCTTTTTTCAACCCAGATTTGTCCTACTTTGTTATCTCAAGCTACCTGTAACATAACATGGTAGAAAAATAAACCTGATTGATCGTTCCAGATTCTTGTGTTGTGATGTATGGTCCTTGTTTTTCTCTGTTTTGATAATATTTTAAGCGACACCCTTGGCGGTTCTAGTTTCTTAAATAATTTCGATTTTGGCCACCGAGTGGAGATTTTACTGGGGTATTTGCTCTACTGTCAGGCGACCAAATCCGTGGTATTCTTCTACTCTCTCTGTTTTGGAACATTGCCTCAATCTATCAGGCTAAATTTTAATTGCCGAAAGAGCTCGATGTTGTACTTAAGTCACTCAGTGGCAGTTTTTACTGTGCACAAAAAGCAACCAATATTTTAGGCAAGCAAGTTCGGCTTTGTATGTTTGCATGCGGCTATCATGTACCGCGAGGAAAATTACTGTAGAAATAGATGTGGTCCCGTTTTGGTTTCCTTTTTTGCCAAATTTTGTATCCAGCAACATTCAAAATTTCACTTTAAACCTAGGAATTCCAAAAAGTAAATCCTTATGGATGGAACTGAACTGTCGTCCAACTTGGGAAAACTTTGTCCCCACACAGTGGTGGTATCGAATTGGTACATTTTTAGCCATCTTTGTGTGGAAAATGTTTTAACTTCTTGCAAGTGTCCTTTTATGGTGGAAAGGTTGCTTTTACCCCCACGTTATCCATTTTATGAACTATTAAGGCTCCGTCCAGAGTGCGCACTGTTTTCACTGCTGACATTTGAAATAGACTCAAAACCTGTAGCCCATAACACCCACGTTTCAGATTGGTTACACCCTAGGTTTGATCTTGTATTTCTTATAATGTTTGAAAGCCTTAATGTGGGGTATCGGATCAGCTGATTGTAAAACCACTCGTATTAAACCTTTTCCATAAACATGCTGTTTACTGCCGAAAGCAACTTGGGGATTTTGTAAATAACGCAATACACACGTGTACGGCTTCTGTAATGCGTCCATCACAAACAGTTTGCCATTTTTCTGCTCAAACTCCTCCGTTCTTTTCCGCTCTAGGTTCTGGTCGAGGAATGTCGGTACGTCCCATCTCTGGAGGATCCCAGCCTCACTCAAATTGACCGAAAATTTGCCCTACAATCCGCTCTGTCAAGCAGAGTACTCTACCCTCTGTGGTCCTTCCTGAAACGGCGTTACGTTCACTCCGCCGCGAAGTCTCTCCAGGGCTTCCGATTTGTGTGTCAGCAGTTTGCTGGCGAGACGAGTCCCCAACCCAGTCTCTCCTCGGCAACGTCAAGAGCCGCAAATCGCATCAAGGACTTCGCTCTCAACAAGCGACCGCGTGTACTGCTCGCCCAAGCAGGCAGCAACACGCCCGAGGAATAACCTGCCCCGATTTCCCGATGTACAGATACACTTCTCTCCGTTTTAATCAGGTGGCGGCTCCTTTTAGTCACAACGTACATAATAATGTTAGCTTTTAAAGTTACGTTGATTTCAAGTGTGCATGTCCTCGTGTTTCCTTCTTCTGTAGCCCCTACTCAGTAGTAATTTGCATTAACACGGCCTGCTCGCTTGTCTTGCTTCTTGTTTTGCCTACGGAAAACGCAACTCCGGCATGACGAATTTGCATAAACACCAAAAGGGCCTTTTCTCGCAGTACTCATAACCAATTACTCCGCTACGATCGCTCACATTGTGAGTCAGATTGATGCCAAGTTTGAGCGCAATTCTAAGATGTTTCTGTGGTTGCCAAATTTTCCGTTGGCTTGCCACAGAACTAACCTACCACCTTTATAGCTCGATATCAATTCTGGTTTGTGTAAGCTTCAGGCCACCCGAAATCGAGACTGTGTTTTCGTACAATCTTAATATCACTAAAAGAGCATACGCCATCAAAGATATCATCAAATAAAGCATAAGAAGATATTCTTGTCTGTAATAGTCGCAAAACATGCCAAAATATTCGATTAAATCGGAGATATTTTTCGTCACAGCCGATATTTGCTTGATATGCATCGAGTAGTTTAAGCACACATCCCCCCCCGTGTCAACAGTATTCCGCGAGGTTCTGTAGGTTGGAGATAAATTGTTTCGGTGTGATCACACCCGTGCCACCGAGGATGACCTCCCAGTTCCACCCTGTTCCACCACCATTCCTTAAGAGGTGCAGGTTTGGAGCCGGGGAGGGCGCATCGGACTTGCGCGAGTGCCGCCCGAAGCTGCTGCGACCTTTGGAGGTGGTTATTGACGACGACGACTTGTCACTCGCGGCCAATCGCGTTTCAACACACTGAAAAGACAATTCGAGACAGGATTGTGTGGCAGGTTATCATTGATGTCTTGACCTACTAACCTAAGTGCTCAAAACTAGTGACTGAGGCTGTTGTGTAAGACGAATCAATGAACTGGGGGGTCGGAATCACATATTTCGCTGAGTGTGGCGGATGGGGAACTATCCCAACGCCATGGTCCACTCCAAAAAAAAACATCACGACGTGCACAAAAAAGGAGATGAATATTCCGGTGTTTACCCTCTGCGTGACAGAGTAGCACACGCGTGTCTCTGGCCACGTAGCTCCGCCCACAATGAAGACAATCAGCCGGGGTCCGCAGTGCTCACTCATGCGTGATCGGCCGTAGATGTCTTCAGGGACATTGACGGTCCTGATTCGGCCACTGCCTGGACGCTGTTGGATGGAGACGTCGGCAGGCGAGGACGCGCCCCCAGGCCCTCCAACTGACCCCGGCTGCGGCGAGTGGGCCCTGAAACGGGCAGAAGGACCCCGGACGTCGCCGGCCCCCGAGAACGCCGACTGATCGGGGATCTGAAGGAGGGCGCCTGTCTGCGGTCGGGACGCGTGGGAGTTGAGCAGGTAGGGGAAACACTGGGAGTCAAGGGTGTCGGAGATGCACTTCTAAATAGGCGACAAAGTGGATGAATGACCAGTGCGGAGTGCGCTACTTGTCATCCTACTGACATCCAACCTCCAGGAAGCCTGACTGGTTTCCATCTAGTTGTCAGGCCCGTTAACCACCAATATAGAGTTTGCAACTGCTAAAGTGGACAATCCTGCGTTTTAGAAATTGCTCACTTCAAGAATGTCATCTAGGTAAGGAACCCAGCGCGACAGGGCGTACGAGTTCTCGTCCACGTCTCTCAGGCGTTTTCCTTTGATCGGCAAGAAGTGCTGAATGAAGGGAGGCGCCGAGGCGAGATCTGGCAGACCCCTGTACAGCGGCGAGTCGAATGAGCCACCCTGGATAAAAATAACGCAGGTTCAAGCGGCATTGCATGCAAACTCACACAGTAGGCGGATTGGAGGCTAAAAAAAGCAACTTTCTGACGAGGCAATTAACCTCGTTAATTTAGCGTCTCCACCTGAGACGAGGCACCTGAAACCCACTTGAAATTGGGTGGCAAGGTCACTAGACGGGGGATAATTTGACTGACTTGTCTACTTCACAACCTGTGATTTTGTGAAAAACCAACATGAACTAATGATTGATGGCTCATTAAGACTAATCACTAGCTTAGTGTATACACATTTTACTAGGTATATGGCTTAATTTCTACAGATGCTTTCTTAGTCTTTAAAAGTATATTTAAAATGCAAATATCTTCTAGGACTTTTGTATTTTTGAAGGGATCGGACGTAAAATTCTACAACATTGAACGATAGGTCTGCGAGTATTACATAACCTCATAAGTATAGCAGGGCTTATGATGGCAAATGGTAAACAGCACTTTCGATGGCACTACATTTTATGCGAATTCCAACGCCAGGGGAAAATGCTCTAAAGAACGGTGGAATCAGTTTGTGGTGTTTTGGGTTACGACGCTGATCCCTAACGTTTAATTAGAAGTGGTGATTTCGACCTTAGTGACCACGCCACCTTGCGCCACGAATAGCAGCCTCGAAAGTATGAAGAAGCGGCATCGCAGGCTGCTACTGGATGAAAACTCAACACAAACGCTAAAAGAGCTTGCAGCAGTTTAGTTATGAGTCACCCAAACAGCTAGTTGACCAAATGGGACAAATTCAACAACTTGGAAGTTGGGTACCCCCAACTGGGCTGAGCGGCCACAACCCGGGTCAACATACGAATACATGCTTTCAACTGCCTGCCCGGCGACAACAAACAGTGAGTGGACTTCTTGTAGCGAATTGTGACGGATGATGAAGCCTGCACGTAAAACGACTTGGGTGGATCCCGGGCAACGCAATACATCGACGACGAAGCAGGCCATCAACTTGAAGATGGTTCTCCTGTGGATTTGGTTGGGGGACATGGAGGGTGTACTTTATCACGAACTCCTGGAAACAACCGGTCGTCGGACAGTGACTGCGCAACACTACAGTCGACAGTCGAACAAACTGAACAAAGAGCGTGACCGTAAAAGTCCAATTACTGGGCAAGGAAGTAGGCAAGTCAAACTGTAGCCGCTGCACGACAACGCCTGACCTCATGTTGGTAGCGTGACTCGCACGACGCTCCTGAACTAGGGATGGGAAGGTGTCCAACACGTGGCACATTCGCCAGACCTGGCTCTCTTTCCGAATACCAGTCAATGCGGCGCCACACCTTAGTGGACAGAAGCTTTAGATCGCTGGACTTTATTGCCTCGAAGCCTGCAAGTTTCTTTCGCGTCGCATTGGTATGTTTGCTGAGAAACAGCTCAAGATCATAGAAGGACAATATTTCCACGATTAAGTTCCTTGTTCTCTACTTTCTCATACTGCGATGTCTTAGAATACAATTGACAATATTTCACGATTAATGTCGTTGTTCTCTATTCATTTGATGTAAAATAAATTTGCTACAACTCTGTAAGAGTAAGTCTACAGCTGATAAGGTAGAAGGGAGCGAAGTTGAAAGGTCATTTTTACTCCACTCGAAAATACCGTCTTCTAATTTAGCTCGAATCTGGCTTCTTCGTACACCTGGTAGGTCATAATCACGCAGGAGATGTTTACGATAGCCACAGCATTAGCTGTAGACATGTGATCTGTGGCTACATAATTCGACGCCGCTCTCATCGCTACCTTGGTAACAGGGACGTCAGAGTAGCAACAATAGTCGGTCAATTAAATGGACTTACAGCACTGATGATGAGTCGTGCGCCAATGACTGAGGACATCGCCGCGACCAGAGTCTTGTAGGTTAGGGAGAGACGCGCGTAGTCCAGCAGTTTCTCCAAGTTGGTCTCCGATATGCCGCCTTAAACAAGATCACACCCAAGTCGATGAGATCAGTGATAAAAACGTGTAAAACTACGCTTCGCGTTGTTGTAAGATAAAAATGTGCATACATCATTGATGTTGCTGAGCCTTATCGCCTGTGCACTGCCCACAGCAAGTCTTGATAACACATAGACACAGTATTGGGAAAACGTCCCTATTAGTTCATGTTTATTGATTGCTTGAACTAAATTTATTACCGTTGAAATGCCGATGAGGGCTGAGGAAATGCGCGAAATGGCAAGAAGACACCCAGCTCACCTTGTGATATGATGTAAATCAGCAGCAAGCGAAACCGGACAACCTCCGACATCGAATCGGGCTTCAGAATATTAACCAATGACATCATCGGATTTGCCAGGACGTCCCCCTGCGCAGTTTGACCCATGGATAGGTCCTAAATCCGAAAACACACAGTTTGCATTCTAAGAAGCCTAGTTTGTCTGGCAAGCTGTGCACCCTACAAGAAGTGTGCTTCGAAGTTATGTTATGTTGCGCTTGTTTCTCTCTTGTCAAGCTTTAGACAACAAGTTTATTAGTGGGACTGGCAAATAACAGAGGCCCATTAAACACAAGCCTGCATACTTGCTCGATAGCGCAGATGGCATTGACATTCTCCCTACACGCAGACAAACAGAAGTCAGTCATCGACACGAGCGCGTTGTAGCTGGCAGCCTCCTTCTGGTACTGGGGCATTTCCCGCACCATGGTCTGAAGCGCGCGAAGACTGCTTGCGTTCCCGCTGGCACTGGAGATGCTAGAGCTGCCGCTGGGCACGTCGGCGCCGTAGTTCACGAAGCCCGGAGAGCTGCAGACGCTGGAGTCGTCGCAGGTGCTAACGCCACCGCCAGTGGCTCTCGCGATGTCGTCAGCCTTCTTCTTCGACGCCAGAAAGTGCTGCTTGCTCTCTGCAAACATTCGCAGTCGAGTGGGCAGCGTTCTTTAAAGCACAGAAAGCATGCTTCAAAACACGCACACAGACATGCCAGCAGGTGGATGTTAATCCTACCTCGATACGTCGGCGATATGTTCGTTTCGCAACTCCTTCCAGAGCTTGTCCTTGTCTGTAAGCTCAAATTCCTGATCGTTTCCGTACCTAAAACAAAATACCACGCCACCTGAAGCTGCTTTGCCACCAGGTGAACACTTGTTCTTTGCTGAACAATGATTTGACGAAAGATTGGATCAGTAAAAGTGGCCCACTGATTGGTACATCGGCTATGGGATCGGGTATTCTTCACACATCAAAGTAAATTCACCTGTAGTAGTCATCTTCGGTCTCTTTCAAGTCCCGAACCAGAGGTTGCAGGGTGAGGTCATGAAGTAGTGGGGTGAGGGGGTCAAAGCCCCTGTCTAGCAGCAGCAGGATGCTCCGATCCTTGTGAGTACCCTGGAGAGGAGAGCAAGTCGAGGGCCGTTAAAATCAGCGTGAAGGATTACTTTGATTGAAACGCACATACATGCAACCTCGTGCACATTCTTGGTTTAACAAGGCTGTTTCGTTACCTTTTTTCTGCTGGGGAGTGAAGCGCGTATGTGACAGAGAAGCGCAAGATCAAAGGCAAAAAGGTGTAACTTAAATAACATCTCTGGAAGCAATGAGGCTATGAGAGAAAGTATGCAAACAGGGTGCGTCAGCGGTTATCCAATTTACGCAGTCAAGCGATTTTCAAGGTATTGTTTTTATCAAAGCTGACAATAGTATCGAGGAAAATGCACGAGTGCAAGCATACTCTTAAAACGCAATATCCATTAGGTGCAGACACGGCTTCATGACTTCGATTTGTCAACTTTCGGAAAGATGGTTTAGCCGAACGAGCCTCACCTGACCAAATTGAGGGCTGTCTTCTTTGTGCTTAGCCAGCTTCATTTGAATTAATTTTGCCAGCTCCAGGTTGCAGGTTCGCCTTTATAAAAAGACACATAAAGACACAGTAAGATCATAGTAGGTAACTAAGGTCAAATACATTAGACGTTATCTTCAAACCTCAACACTCTTAGGTCAAATTAGCAAATAAACCATCTAAACATGAGCCACCGGACATCCCTTGTAAACTATTAAGAAGCATAAATTAGTACACTAATCTGATTGGGTTACAGTAACTAACAAAACCGTTAGATCCAGAATCAAACCTAGACAAGATCCTGATCAAGTTGGTTGTTCTAGATTAAGTATACTGGATGAAGACCGATTCGCATTTAAACTTGAGAGACTTTGTACTCGTTTGCTGCGGTTCATTTCATTGACTTTTGTACTTCAACTAAAACCAGAATGCTTAAATCCAGTTACAAAATTGTAAAATCGTGCTTCGAGAAAGGTACAAAGAAGTCCTATGTTTGTCCTGCTCATTACTTCGTGAAATTTGGAAAACCAAATTGATCACTTACTTTCTATAACGGACTTTGGGGAACTCGTTTAGCAGAACGCAAACACTGGCAATTTGTTCTGCAAGACTCTCAAGCCGCATGCTCATATTTGACACGCGATCCAAAGGACATGTGTAGAGCCAAGCTGTGTCGTGGCAATTGACTGAAAATATATGGGACTCGACGGGCAGAAAACCGATATTAAGGACAGACAGGGCTTTGAAAGACTTGAGGCATCCTGAGGTAGAAATCTGGCGCAGCAGTTCATCTGAACAAGCTAAATTCAACAAAAGAAATTTTGTGGGTGCAGAAGAAACATGCTAACTTAGGGCCGCAAATAACAAGGCCAGAAATGTCTAGGACAAAACCTAACAAAGACCGGAGTTAACAAATGTCGACCTCATGGAAGGTCTTATACTCAATGAACTCGATCAGTTTTAATAAACGCTTCGTTGTACACTTAGGCAATCAGACGTGATAGAAAATTGTAGGACAAACCAAACAGTCATCACATAATTATGCTCAAAAACCAAAAATAGTGAATTCAACTTTGCACAAACATTTCCAAATTCAAGGATACCAAATGACTTGATAACGGCGACAGTTGGAGACACAATGCTTTGAATGGTTAAGTATAACTGACAAATTTAATTAGACAGGAAGCGCTTAGTTAAATTGGCTTAACTTTTTCAATTGGCTGCGAAAAATAATTTCCTGAAACACACAGACAATGGAAATAACTATGGTGTTTGCAAAATCACACAAGAGGGTCAATTGTTAGGTGTGTGTACAGGTGCGCGTACCAATGTACTTGAAAGCAGATAAGACATACGAAAGATTTATGTGTTCAGTAATGTTTTAAACCAAAAAATAATAATAATTAAAAATATGATAGCATAAAGGTGACCTAGTGAACACTACATTCACATTACGTAAATAAAATATTTTTTAAATCGGCATACGTATTGCAAAAAACTTACCGACTGTGAAATAAACGTAAGCGGATGTATAATGTTTCGGATTACTAGTGAAGTCTTTAAGAAGACGGCTAACAGACTAAACACAAAATAAAACAATGTAACACGAACAAAAAATACCTCCTTATTTGGGTGAAGAATATAGATCGCCTCCATAGGAAGAACCTTTCGTGTCTTTGATATATTTTCGACAACTGAAAAAAATTGAGGTTTATCTAGGCGACTTACGAGTAATTCCAGTATCCATTATGTCCTGCATGCGTAAACAGGACGACAGCAGGGCCGTTGAATTCTCATCTAAAACAAGAACCCTCCAGTTTTTCGGACGATCCTTAGGACAAAAAACGTAATCAAAAAAATCTAAGACAAGTCTCTAAATAATGGCAAAAACCACTTTTTGAAACTTCCGATTCCAGGGACATTTTTCTATTTACGCGGAGTTTAATCAGATAATATCAATAAGCTTAAAGAAAAAATTCTTCATGGTCCTAAATGGCTCTCAAAAACCCTAATAGGTGTCAATAGGTTACAAACCTTTAAAGACAAAATTAAGCACCTGATGTGTTATGATCACTAATTAAATTTTATCTTTGATGAGTTATCTAAATTTTAATGTACAAACATAAAAATGCCAAAAATGACTGTGCTTGTTGTGCTTTTTTTATTATGCTCTTTGACCTTTGAGTTCAATGGAGGAGCTTTCTGTTTTATATATTAGTCATCATGTAAATCAAATTATGAGCTATCCCAAAGTCGCATTTATCTGCATCAAAATGACTCCACGAAAACCCCTCTCTCACACTTGGAAAACGGTTGTAATACTTCTGCAGTAACTTAAAGACAGAATATTACATTAGCAAATCTGTCTTCTAACTAATCATTTCCTCAAGTCATTGACAAACCTCTTCCACAATTGAAAACCTGCCCAAGTCGCTTCGCACTCACCAACCCGTCCTCGCCTTTTTTCCTTTCCCTATTCTTGCGCAATCAAATCATCCTTAAGCCTCGCCTGCAGGTCAATATCAGGAAACGTTGATAAAAACGACTTCGTGAAATGAAAATTAACCGTCTGACTAGACAATCAACCTTGTTAAATTAGCGTCTCCACCACAGATAAGGTACCTGAAACCAACTTGAAATCTGGTAGCAAGGTCACTAGACGGAGGATACTTTGACTGACTCGTCTACTTCACAACCGTGATTTTATGAAAGTCTACAGGGCTGCACTCTAAAAAATTAAAATAATTTTTGGTATCCAACGCAACGGCCTGGGAAGGCATTGGTGTTTAAGCAGGTGAGAAATGTAGGCATTCATCGGGTATTTATGTTGCAATCCATGGAGACCTTGTCAATACAAATTAGCCCAGATAATTGAGATTAATGACATAGAATGCATCTAGACCACCAAGACTAAGTATTGATGACTCATCAAAACTAATCTCTAGCTTAGTGTATACACATTTTACTGGTTGTATGACTTAATTTCAACGGATGAATTCCTCGATTTTAAAAGTATATTAAAATGCAAATTTCTTTTAGTTCTCTTGTGTTTTTGAAAGGATCTGACACAAAGTTTTACAACACCCTCTCTAACGCCATTCACTCCATGTTCTGACACCAAAACTCACCCAACACTGTAGCCGCTATGCACTTATGTACCTGGTCCTTCACGTTTTTCTCTTACGTATTCCGTATTCAACCGTGATAAAACTGATGTCTAGATAATGCATTTATAGCAATCGGCTTCTCATCACGTTCCACTTAAAGTATTTAATCGCCCCAAGCATTACCCTAAAATTTTATGAAGTATAATCGAACATGAGTAAAGGACTATCATCAACTTCGAGTTTTTCCTTTATTGCATTTAAATTAGCAGGAATTTTAGAGCTTTGAAAATATTAGTACTTCCCTTTTTTCTTTATTACACAAAATTTTAACGCATGATGATTTCGTAAAATTCATTTCTTAATTCCATATCATGCATGTATTTTTTTCGAAATTGAACCACTAGATCTTTTTAGTAAATAATCGTATTTTCTTAAATTATAAAGTTTAACAGTATTTCAGGATGATGTGCCTAATAAATTGGAAGATTAATTTGCTGAACTATTGCATCAGATAAAAGCAGCAAATGAAAGGCCCAATTTCTGCTATCTATTAAATGATTCATAATGTATGCCATATGAAATTTTAGATTAGAAGTCTGCTGATTACACCTTTCCTGCAGTAATTGGAACGTAGATTGAATTTCTGTAGTGGAACAATTTACTACCAAATTTCGTGTGCTTATGTCTAATGCGGTTGCAACAAGTAATCATTAAACCCACTGCATAAATGTGAAGCCTATCTTATGACGTTAACTGCAGTGTTTGTAAAAATTGGGAATTTGTCACAAAAATTGCATTCCTAGCAAATAAAGAAATTCGTCTCTTGGAAAAATGTCAATTCGACCAGTCGGATGTCAGCACGCATATTTCACTTTCTTTTCGACGGCTTTTTTGCGTCGTTTTATCAGTTGGATTTATTTTATAGCACTTTCTCTTTAGCTTCCTGACATGTTATGTAACCATCAGCTTCATACGCATTGTTTATTTAAACTGATGTACATCGAAAGTACTTTTTCTTCATTTGCATGTTGTAATTACAGATATATTTGTGTATAATCCGCCTTGTTCAAATTTCAAAATAAGAATCTACCAGTGAATTTTGTTTCCTAACCATCTCCTTAACTTGTGGCTAAATTATCAAGTACGTTTCAAGCAACATGATAAATTAAACAAACTTCGGGAAAAACGAACTTTGGTCCCACAACTGAAAATGACGCGTGTGGGGTATGTGCATAAGTCCCAATGTTTATTGTCTTTGTATTTATTAACTTGATGTGATAGAAATAAGAACTGGTTGCAATGAATTCCTGTTCTCTAAGAAAATAATATTGTAATTTCTGCAAACAAAGAAAACTCAAAATCTTCCAATTGTTTGTGAAACGGGTAGTATAGACGTAAAATTACATTCAGAGTGACTCTACTTTTCACTTATTTGTCTGTTTCTAATTTAATGGGTAACAAGGAGTTACCAGATATATAACAGCGGAGACGTCTAGAAAATCAAAACATTTTTACTTTTGTCTGATTATCCTACTCTAAAAATTACATATTTAAATCTTGAGTGATCAGAATACTTACTTAGATGGTCCCATCAATGTAGTATTTCGTCCTCGTTAATTTTTTTATGTGGTTGATACGAAAAGGCCTGAATGGTCGTTTAAATGTATAAATGTTTAGCTTATTTTGACTATTTCTGCATCTTTACGATGTGGTTATCCAATTCGTTGTGTAACGAGGTAAAAGGGCGCGGGTAAAACCAAAGATAATTTCTGCGCGGCATTGGAGTTAGCCAATCAGAATTGACCGATTGATTGGGTAAAACGATTGTTGGTTTACAACTATTAGCTTCAATGCCTTATAGATTAGAGGAGCTTCAAAGTCGCCGGATAATTGGTTTAAACCAGACACAGTAACCAGCATTATCGAAGCAGCGTTGGAACATTTCGAATCTGTTTGAGTCCAACTGGAAAATTACGCGATAAGCTTGTTACGTTTCTCTGAGCTCAAAATCAAACACATAATAAGAAAGCAACAAAATCAGTGTTAAGCATGTGCTATACGGCCAGCGTGTGTTACCTGTCTGCTCTCTACATCGTTGTCTATGAAAGCTTGAGGCCAGCGATATGGAAAACACTCCAGGTTAAAATAAAATTAAAAAACAACCCGCAACGCTCAACAATGTGCATACCTTTTTTGATTTTTCAAAAATTATTTAAACATTCAGCGACTGCTGAAGAACAGTTAAACAGTGGAAGTTCTGTCATGACCAGAACACTCGCATCTTGACAATTTTTCACTCGTTAATCTGGTCAGTCCAGTCTCCGACACAGGGTACCTCCTTTCGACGCATGTTGTCAGTCGCGCCAATCCTCAACTCCTCCCTTATTCACATGGATATTTACCTTAAATTACCCAAACACTCAGGTCTCGATGTTAGCGCATTTATAACTCACGCATCTAAGGTACAAATACACACGCACAAACCCCACACACGACACAACGACACAAACGTGGTGGAGCTCGGGAATAAACGCTTGTGTCCACGTCCTTTCCTATCTTTTTCTTCATCGCGGGTATCAGGAAACGTAATCGGAGCAAGGGTTAATTCCGTGGCCCCGGCGTGGTTCAGACCACATGCTGGGGCCCACAACAATTGATGACCCCGATGTGAAGAAAGGTTCTTAAAATCACATAACAATACTAAATATGCAGGTACTACGAACTTGTACGCTGACAATGACGACGGTCAACTAAGTAAAAATGGTCCATCTATTTAAAACTCACATCAAACAGGTTTACAAATTGAGCATAGTTGCAGTGAAGAAAATATATAATAAAATGGGGTCACTATTTACTCGATTGTCTACGGCGAAAGTCGACACACACTAATCAGTACGGAGGCAGACCGTAGTCGGCGGGGTCGAAGCACTCTAAGCTGGTTAACCGGAGGATTCGCGATTTCGCTTCATCGGTGAGACCGTTGTCATCGGGAAAGCCGGGCGCTTCTGCAGGATCGGGCACCCAAACAACATACATTCCGGCGGCCACAGCAGCCCGGACACCATTCCAGGAGTCTTCGAAGACTAGCGTTGTCTCAGGTCGAGCTGACGGATCGTTGAATCGACGCAGAGCAACTAGAAAGATGTCGGGTGCGGGTTTGCCCCTCTTGACCTGAAAACACATGTGTGAAGTTGTAACCAAACTAAACACGATTGTCTGCAGTTACTTTCTCTGGCTTCTTGCAATATCTGTTTAAAATCTACGATTTACGCACTAATAACAAAATTAACACGAATAAGCTCAGGAAAGAACCAATTGGACAACCCCTACAACTTAGAAGCAAAGGCAGCTTATCGTGAGCCACCTAATAAAGTCTCAATCATCGTAGCCGAGTAGAGCCTGTTTACGGACCTGATGGTGTCAACAACTCATTTCTATTTCATTAGTTACTGTTATTATTAGCCCGTTGTCTAAACACCCATCCACTCACAATACTACACTTACTTGCAGTGACTTTACAAACAATCGCGTCTATTGTCCCCTTTCTCGTCTCTGTTCCTGGACCTCCAGGGACCGAAAACTAGATGATTGCAGGCTAAAGACAGCTTTTGCAAGTTATTTCCAAAAATCCAAAATAAAGAATACATTTTTGCAGTGATTGTGCCCACTTAGTTAAATACACACTACAGTCACTTTTCCGAGACAAAACACAACTTTTGGTATACTTTTAACCCCTGCCAAATCGAATACTACCAAACAAATGACAAGGCAGTAAGAATATTCCATGGTGATCTACGACAATAAAAAACAAACAAGTAATTACCTCCGGGTCGTCACCACCAGCAACTACATGACTAATGCATTTCATGACATCTCCAATATTCCAAGTCTTGTCTTTGATCTGAGAAGAGAAGGATCCTGTTGCGATGGCCATCGGCACGGAATTGGAATAAAGATGATCGACTAATTTCTTCGCTCCCGGCATTAATTCGGCCTTGCGCCAAATCTCAGGAGGAAAGTTTGATTTAAGTTCTTCAATGATTTCAGTGGCAGACATGGGCAATTCATAGAAATCTTTCAAGGCCGTCACAGCTTCGAGAGTTTTACGACCCATCATCAACGTTTTCGCGTGGTAGGTAAACTGTTTTCCATACTTCAGCAGAAAGTTTGAATAAACATCCGTGTATATCTCTTCCGAATTAATAAGAAGTCCATCAAGATCAAAAAGAACATGAGTGACTTGCGGAGACTGACGCATGGGCAGTGTAGTGTTGTGTGTGGGTGTGGTGCGACTGTGATGTCGGAATAGGGCGCAGACATGTTGGACCACCTGGCCTCACCCAATCCTGTGTCAGTCTACGTTCCAATGGCATGCGAGAAAGATGAGCAGCCAATTAGAGAAGGACTCGACTGAGGTGTAGCATATAATGAGCGGCGTGGCCAGCGTGGTGGACCCGGATGGAAGGCGCCTGACGTGTGGCTCTGGCTTATGATTGGTCAATAAAGCCTGTTCTGTTGTACCAGTCTTTTTCCCATAAGGGCTCGGGCATTCTGCATTGGTGGCAGCGGATGCGTTCGAATAACGCGAATCAAACCCTAGCCATTCACCTAAAGTGGTCAGCAGAGGCAAAGACCCTTAAATGCCAGCTAAAGTCGTCATTGCGGTCATCCGATGTCCAATAAAGTGGATCCATAGACATTGCCCGGGATTAGGACATCTGCATCTGATGAGGCATTGCCAACTCAGCGACGACGACTTGGACAGTGAACGCCAGCTGGAATGCAACTGCGAATGGACCTACGATGGATGAAGCGTCCTTCTTGCAAGTCTACAAAAGCAAAGTCCCTCGTCAACTATTCGCATGGACCACTATCCTGCAAGAGGTGGGGTGCTGGAAGGGACGAACTGGATATTTTACCACCACAGAATATCAACAACAGTGCGGTGATCCAAGCCAGAAGCTGAGGACAGCTTCACTCCTGAAAGGGAGGCAGTGTGGCGACGGATCAGGGCGCAGACATATTGGACCACCTGGCCTCAGCCAATTCTGTGTCTCTGCATTTTACTGGCATGCGAGGATGATAAGCAGCCAACCAGAGAGAGATACGAATGGGGTGCAGCATATAATGTAGGCGTGGCCAGCGTTGTGGACTCGGATGGAAGGCGCCTGACGTGTGGCTCTGACTTGTAATTGGTCGATAAACCTGTTCTGTTGTACCAGTTTTTTTCTTAATAGCCCTCGGGTATTCTACAGCAGATTATCAAAACCGAAATTAAAGAATCGCGTGTTTTAGTGGCATTTTCAATTTCATTAACTAAAACAACACAAATTGAGCAGCCATGAAGAGCAATAAGGATACAGCTTCAAACAGCCATGATTATCCAAATACATCTAAATCAGGTGGTTTATCAAATCCCAAATAAGCTAGTAATGATTTACAAGAAGGTTTTTGCCACAAATTCTTAAACCCTATAACGCTATGTGCATACAGATACAGCTACACGCAGTGATAGTAAAATGTTGGTCTCTTCGCAACTTTGAATGCTTGGGGTTTAATCACACCTAGGTCACCCTAATCAGCATGGCCATGTGTAAATTCAATCGTACTATTATAAATTATAAGCAATTTTTGCAGACCTTATGAATCGACTTATGTATAATGGAACAGTTATAGAGGCTATGATTTAAGTAGAACAAATGTCTTACAAACTAGTCGCAGGCTCGATTTTTTGTAAATATGAAACAAATTTCACAATGGAATGACCGGAAGTTAGGGAAATCACGCAACGACACTTAAATGGCCGCCATTGGTAGAGAGGATATCATGTTGTTTTTGCCTCTTAAAATTGTCTTATGTGGCCCATTTTTACATTAGTTTGCTTGTGAGGCATGCTTATTTAAAAATGCACTGGCTTGACTTTAGGAGTTTGCAAATGGATGGTAAATACTGACTCTGTATTAATTTTGATGGTGAATCAGGGGATATTGCTACTTGTTTTGCATTTTATTGCTGCTTAAAAACAATATAAAGGAATTTATTTTGGAAAAAATGTACGTGGAACAAAAACCAAACACCTGCACACAGTTTAGTAAAATGACTGTTGAGTGGCAATTATTAGCTTAAATGCCTTGGCGATTAAAAGAGCTACAAATTAGTCGGTTAGTTGGTTTAAACCAAACACATTTGTCAGCCAGTGATATGTAAAACACTCCAGGTTAAATAAACATTTAAAAAAAAACAACCCGCAACGTTCAACAATGTGTGCCCGTTATCATAAACAACATGCGTCATTTAACTTGCAGACAATCAATTGACATGGCTAGATTTTAACAGCGTCTTTACAAATGAGACGGTGGGACGGACTGGGCTATGTGCGTAGTGAAGTTGAATGAGGTTTTTGTAAAACTTGCAGGTTCCTGCATTTGTCGTCTTTGCATGTGAATTCTTCTTTATCTGGAATGCACAAGTCGAGTGCAAATCGTCTTAACGATAAGATAAACACGCCAGGTTAGACAGAAATTGGAAAGCAATCCGCGAAGTTCAACAATATGCGCCTGTCATTATAAACAACAAAAGTCAATTGACATTACGTAGATGGCAAATTAGTTAAGAACGAATGCCCACCGTGCCAGTGCTCAAAGATCGCCAATTGTTCAGAGTGTATCGCGTCTACATATAGTCCTTTAACTCTAATCATTCGTCTGAGTCTTAATTTTCTTCATCGGAATTGCAAAAATCGGGCGAAATTTGTCAAAGAAATAAATCGCCTGTCTCATTTGTGCTGAATGTAGAGATGGCATATTAGGGCTTAATTTGTGTTAAAACCTTTCTTTGATTTTTTGACATATTTTTGAACATTCTGTGAGTGCTAAAGAATCGGTAACCATCGAAGGTTCTGTAATGACCAGAGTGCTCGCATCTTGACACTTTTTCCTATGTTAAAATAATAGAATGTGGTGAATTGCGTTGATTCACACTCGTTAATCTGGTCATTTCAGCCTCCGACACAGGGTTCCCCTTTTCGCAGCATGTCGCCAGCCGCGCGGATCCTCAACTCCGCCCTCATTCGCACGAACATTTATCCTGGATGATCTTTACACCTAGTTCTCGATGTTAGCACATCTATGATTCACGCATCTGAGGTATAAATGCACACGACGCAAAGACACCAACGGGGTTGAGCTCTGAAGCAAACGGTTGTGTCCACGTCCTCTCGGGGTAGCGTAGTTGGACGAGATTCAACTCTGAGACTAGTTGACAGTATAAACGGATTAACGAATATGAATCAACGCAATCCGCCACATTCTATTATTTTAACATAAAACAAAGTGTCAAGATGCGAGTACTCTGGTCATTACAGAACCTTCAATGTTTACCAATTTTGTAGCACTCACAGAATACTTAAAAAATGTCAAGAATTCAAAAATAGGTTTTAGCATAAATTTAACCATACTATGCCTTTTCTGGATTCAGCACAAATGAGACAGACGATATATTTCTTTGACAAATTTCGCCCGATTTTCGCAATCCCGGTGAAGAAAATTAAGACTCAAACGGACGAATATAGTTAAAGGACTATCTGCAAACGCATTACACTCTGAACAATCGGAGATCTTTGAGCACTACAGCGGCGGACATTCGTTCTCAACTGATTTGCCACCTACGTAATATCAATAATATCAACGCGATTCACAGCAAGAGGTTTCATCTTCTGTTGAGAGCAGGGCTTTGTGAATTGTCTTATTTGAGCGCAAGTACTTAGCCTTAGGCGCTCAAATGGGCACTCATTTGATTGAAGGGTTTGTATTTGCACTAAAACTAGTCATGGTATTGACCTGGACATTTACGTGCAGTTCACAAGGCCAGTTTGCTGCAGTGCTTCATTTGGTGTGAATAAAAGTAGCTTTGGTGACCTCTGACAAATGTACACTGCGACCTGCTACAACCTGTCAAATCTGTAAAAACTGACATTAATTATCGATACACTTTAATTCCTGAGTGTTTGAGTAAAAAACTGCATATTTTCTAGGAATTTGAAATGACAGAAGAGGGTGAGTATTGAGAGAAACCCCTATTCACGAAATTCGAGAAAGTCGTTTCAGGAACCTGGTTGCGCAAACTGTCTACGCGCTACGCTTCTTTGCCTACTCAAGAAACACACGCGAGGAGAGACACGAATATTCGTGCTAATTTTCTTCGGCTTATGAGAAAAACTGACGGTGGTACATCTGGCGTGTAATATAGCCTTTGATCTTTTAGAGCAATGCCTCAGTTACATAGATTCCGTGAGGTCGTAACAGGCGCCAACACGGTCTGCTGTTAGATTTGAACAGGACCTGGATGACGACGAACTGGCTATAGGTGTGAGTCATCGTTCAACAAGATTCCCCGGTCAAATTTACCAAACAGAACCATGTTATCGTCAACGTTGGAGGCGATTATCGCATGCCAAGTAAGAGAACAAACACCATTGTCTAATGTCCGTGCACTGAAAGAGGGAAGTGCTTTGTACAATGTCATGAAAAATACCTTGCAAAGCACGACATTCTACCAGGGTGGATGGCAACAACCATCATGATTGACCTGCCACGAGAACATCCAGCCAATGGCGTCTACATCCAGAAACCAAGATCGAAGGTTATGTCTAAACACATTCCAGGTGAATGTCACCCAAATCCAACCACAACCACCTCGATTCACTCCGGAAAACTGGTGGTACGTAGGGCAACAAACCACGGTGTTATGCCTGCCACGCGTCCAACCTCAATTTCAGAAGAATTATGTAATCTACGTGTTTGCTTGACCAAGTACCGTGGAGCAGCAGTCAGTTTCTTCACCTCCGCACTAGTTACAGGTAAATTCCACAGTCAAAGCAGAGAGTACTCGAACGAAGACGAATTGGTTGTTGGTGGCATGTGTCCGTTTGTTTCCCATCTCACTAGGTTCGTTTATGTTGAAAATCAGTCATCGAGGTATAAAAGAGAAGGAGGTGGAGGAAGAAAGGGAGGAAATGGATTTGGAGGAGAAGGAGGATGTGGTGGAGAAGAAGGATGAATATAATGCATTTACAGACAGGAAGTTGATACTTGACAGCGTTGGAACGAAACATTTATAAAAGACAATATGCAGTAAAATTCACTGATTAAATAAAAACAGTGTTTGGGGAGGCTGGTCGGGACTTGAAATGTCTGCCACCACACCACAAAATTTGAATCCGCATCGAGGTAACCGCGTTTTCGAGGTCGCTGTTGTCAGAGAAGTACGTGACGATCGCAGGAAACCAAGGCACAATTGTCTCTACCTGATAAGATGTATTTTTCCGTGGTAAGGCAAAGCAAACTGAATTTACCTTAGCTATCATAACGTGTTTCGAAATAGCTAAACCAAGATTCCTGAATTATCCGATTTATGCAGCCACGTGTCTCCCGTTGAAGTTGTTTAGTCTTGTCTGAAATGCACGCACTATCAACGTATGATTTATTTCTCAAAAAAAGTGATTCATAAAAGTATAAGGTGTGTGACTTAAGTTCTACAGCTGCAATCTTCGAGTTTAAAATTGTATTTAAAATGCAAATGTCTTCAGGGTCTTTTGTGGTTTTGAAAGGATTGGACACAAAGGTTTGCATCACCGAACGACAGGTGTGTGAGGTGTATGACTTGTCCACTTCACAACCTGTGATTTTGTGAAAAACAAACATGAACTAATGATTGATGGCTCATTAAGACTAATCACTAGCTTAGTGTATACACATTTTACTAGGTATATGGCTTAA